ACGAAGTTATGGAAAATTAATTAACAAACGGAGACGTAACAATATTTAAGTTAACAGACGTAATAATCTGCTAACTTTAAAAATACCACTTTCACGTTAGTTATGAGAATCTTTTTCGAACTATTTTCTTGTCACTTTGATTGGTGAAATACAACCTTTTCGCTTAGTTTGAAAAAATTAAATTAAGTTCCTTGTGCGGTTTTAGGTCTATCTGGAATCGCAGGTCAGTCATGAAACCTTGGAAGATTTCTCTCACCAGTCTCTGCTTGAAGTACTGTTAACGACGTATTTCACGAAGAGCTATAGTTCCAGACCTGTAACGATGAAATTTTTGACACCATTATGTGGCTTGAGCGCTCTTTTGAGCAGCTTTAGTGGCCACTTATTTTCTGGGTACTTTCCCGCCATGTATATTCCTGCACTTTGCTTGGTACGTGCTATACTTTAGCTTTTCGGTTACCGAAAAAAGTTACAATATTCGACTGCAGTGGCGCTTGTAGAGTCACGTATGTATCTTAAGGCCGCCTCGGCTCTTGTTTACTCTGGTGATCTATTTTGCACAGAAAATCCAACAAGTAGTTCTACAGTATCATAAATTTAAGAGTTTTCATGGCGACAAGCTGCTGCTTTGAATCTAATTTCTGAACAAGGGGAAAACGAATCAGAGATCACTTTTTTGTTATGCAAAGCCTAAAGTTAAATATAAATCCAAACCGTATTATACAGGTTACCGGGGCTTTACTACATCTAGCAAATAAGTCTGAGTGAAAGTTTTTATAATTTAATAAGCAAGTAGCTGTCGTTCGTTGATTGTTTGTTAATCGAGGAAAAAATACGTGCGTGTCTTTTATCATTACTGCCCCCCAGTGGCACAGCGGTATGTTTGCGGACTTACAATGCTAGAAGCCGGGATTCGATACCTGTGGTGAGCAGAGCACAGATAGCCCATTGTGTAGCTTTGTGTTTAATTACAAACAAACAATTTATCCTTACTACAATGTTTTAATATTGCAAAAGAAATGTTATTTTTCTATCGCGTCTGAATCAGAAGCTTATATGTAGTGGTAATTACAATAATCGATTAAAACACGTGTAAGACTACAAAGTAGTAACTTTACAGGCGAAATTATTTCATGCTCTGTGATGTTTCAAAGTGCTTTTAATAAACAGAGAAATAAATGAAGCACCATATTAACAGAAGGTTTATAAATGTATGAAGAGCTTGAATAAGTCAAACTCGACCAAAGTAGATTCACTTTGATACAATTTTGTTTGTTTTGAATTTCGCATAAAGCTACTAATCATCCCTAATTTTGAAGCGATAAATTAGAAGAAAGCCAGTCAGTCAACACCACCCATGCTAACTCTTAGGGTCCTCTTTAACATCGAAAAGTGAGGTTGGACTGATCGTTATATTATAACGCCCCCACAGCTGAAAGGGCGAACATGTTTGGTTATGCGGTTCGAGCCAGTGAGTCTTTTAACAACCAATAGTGAGGATGGCGTTATAATATGACGGTCAGTCCAACCTCACTATTGGTTGTTAAAAGACTCACTGGCTCGAACCGCATAACCAAACATGTTCGCCCTTTCAGCTGTGGGGGCGTTATAATATGACGGTCAGTCCAACCTCACTATTGGTTGTTAAAAGACTCACTGGCTCGAACCGCATAACCAAACATGTTCGCCCTTTCAGCTGTGGGGGCCCCCATAGCTGAAAGGGCGAACATGTTTGGTCATGCGGTTCGAGCCAGTGAGTCTTTTTAACAACCGATTCAGCTGAGCGCACTTTATTCACAATGCTAGAACAATGAAATTAAATTAAACATGTATATTTTTAACATTGGCTTCTCTTTCTTTATGCAATAACAATGTGTATGAGATACAACTGCACTTGACAATCATCAAGGCAATTCTGAAAAGCAATAGTTTTGTGTTGGAAATATTTTTACACTCAAGTCTACCAGAACTTCACAGAATGTAATGTTACCAACACGAATAGTACAGTTTCATTATTTAAAAAGAAAGAAAAGTTGAATTCCCAGTATGTTTCTACCTCTGCATAAACCCATCCTGCCAGATACTGTGAAAAGGCAGTCATGGCTGGCTACATAGAAACAAATATATCTACACTGGTTTCACCATAAGTAACAGCCTTAAGTCAGGTTTAATGTGTACAGAACTATGATTCACGCCTAGGCTAATGCTCACACAACTTGAGCTAAAAATTTGAAGAACTGCTGACGGTACCTGAATATATAGCATTACTAATTAATTTTGTAAGTTATGAAAGAGTTAAAACCGTAGTATTTGCCATTACAACTCAGCTGTTTTTTCTTTATATTGTTACGACAGCGGAGGTCACGTGACGCTAGTAACACGTAATGACTATCATGAAAGATCGAGGAAATTGTCGAACGTCCTAGCGGTTGTTAGAATGGCCGGTAAATAAAGTGACGGCAACAACGGAATAGCAGACAGAGAGATTGAAGATATAAACGGACAATTGAGTCAAGCGCAGTAGTAAGTAAAGTGCTTGAATCGTTCGTTGAGAATTATAGCGTGTGTTTAAGTTAAAGGGACTGTGAAAATTAAGTGTATTGCAAAGTTGAATTGAGAAAGAATAAACTAGTTTTATTTGAGAAAGGACTTGTATCGCTGAAGTTCTTTGGAAATATTTTTTACGAGTAATTAACTAACGACCACAGACGTAACAATATATATACATAATGAGGGACATTAATTTTAAGTTTAAATATTAAAAGTTACATCCAAACTCCTATTTAGAGATTTTTAAAACTAAGAATAGATCTGATATACAAACATTTACTAGTTACACAAATCTAAGTTTAATATATTTTTCTTTTATATGTGTATTAGGATTGTTTTACGATTCCACAAACCAGAAAAGAGACAGTGTTGTTGACTGTGTTTTTATTTTTAATCTAGATAATTTGTATTATTTGCTACAGGAAGTTTTGGCATGACGTACTGGTAATATTTGATGTTAAAAATGAAATAAGAACCAAGCAAATGCAGTTTATCGTTGCATCATAAGAAATAGAAGATATTTTTTTCTTTTGCCGATATTGCCAGTGGCCTTCTGGCTGTGTACTGTCTTATTGATTCCTCATCTTTTCAGTTTCATAGTTACATCATACGTACTCTGCTTTGCACTAGTCTTATTTACTCTGATTGTAGAAAAAGATCTTCCATGGTTGTTGTTTTTACTTTTCTAATGCAAAGGAACTACAAGGACTTAAGTGGTGATGTTCAGTTGAGAATACCCTGTCTGCCCCAACTGATATACGAAATTCATTACTTACAGAAACCAGTCCAAGGGCTAATGGGTTCATTGATGGAAAGCCTTGCAACATGTTGATCAACACTGATTTTATTACTACAACTGTTCGACTCGATATGGCAACAGAAAGTGGGATATTGCCTCCAGAGATAAAAAACTTTATACCCACTTCTTAGTGATACTTCTCTACATCATATGATGTATGGGTAATTGATATCAAGGAAAAGTGCACACTTAAAACGTTTCTTATGCAGAAACATGGATGTGAAATTAGACAAGCTTCAAAGTCTATGTTATGTAAATTTCCATACACAAAACATCAATAATATCCTCAGATGTTGGATTTGAAGTCATAAGAACGATGGGAATACAGGGCAGTGAAGACAGATAATTTAAAGTGCAACAGAGTAGAAACCACGAAGTCAGTGATCCAAGTCAAATTTCATCTATTGGGATTGTATTGAGAAGCGTACCAGCAGGAAAGCAACCAGCTACTTAACTTCAGCAAACACTCCACCAGGAAGAACCTGAGGTTTTGTCGAGACCACTTCCAGAGATTCACTAAAGATGAAGCCACTAATAGATTCCAACAATCATAACCTGGAGATAAATTTCCAATCACAAAACAGGAAGTGGCAATGAAAGAACAAGAAATCAACCCACCTTTTTACCATAAGCCACGAAAAAAATTGCGAAAAAGATTTGGTGAATGGACAATTTAGACAGTAAATAGATTTTGGTTTTTTAATCAGAAAAATGTTTGTACTTCATTAAGTACATTTAAGTAATTATTTAGTGATTGTAATGCCTATTTATGAACATTACTTTTTTAATTGTGAATAGTGACTTAATCCCCACAGTGGTTCAGCAGCAAGTCTGAGACTTATAATTCTAAAAACCAGGTTTCGATACCCGTGGTGGGCACAACACAGATAGCCCATTGTGTTGCCTTATACTTAACAGCAAACAAACAGAAAAAATAGCGACTTTATTACTAGTCACGTAAAATTTAATTTAATATATTATTGTTTTATGTGTGCATTAAGATTGTTCAAAGGACGTTACAAACCAGGGAAGAGGTAATGTTGAAGGCTATGCTTTCAATAGTTTATCTTGGATATTTTGTATTATTTTCAACAGAGAGTTTTGGGATGACGTAGTAATAATATTTGACTACTAGAAATTTCCTAAGTGTCTAGATCTGACGCGACTGTACTTGTGGTAATATACTGTATAAAAACAATCAGAGAGTTGTTTTTGATCAGGGAGTTAGTCACTATCTTAGTTACAGTCGGATACAGTGTTGTCTATCAACTAGTGGGTCAATGAGCCTGTTATTATGCTTATTAACAAACGTAGTCTGTAGAACGTTAACAAAATAATATATATCTCGTAACTGTAATTTGTATTATTTCTAATGAATAATTAAAACAATTCGTTTCGTTGTTGTTAAGCGCAAAACTACATAGCTGTTATCTGGATTATAAACTGATTAACGTGCTGCCCATGACTCCATTACTGGAAGGGGAAAAGCCTATGCTTTGGCCGGTTTTATACTCTTCTAGCATGTAAATCATCAATCATTAAATTTAAATCTTTGTTACGCTCTGCAGGTTGTGGTACGGGATTTATATTGTTACGTATCTGCTTGTTTGATAATTTCCCGTATAATTTCTTTCCGATGAAACTTCAGCGATACAAGTCCTTTCTTAATTAAAAATAGTTTATTCTTTCTCGTTACAAACTTTGTAATACGCTTAATCTCCACAGTCACTTTAACTTAAACATATGCTATAATTCACGGCGATTTACACACTTTACTTACTGCTTGACTCGATTATCTGTCTCTATATCTGTCTATCAGCAATTATTTGCCGGGCTTATATACTAAAAAAGAGGACGCCTGGAACAGACTAAAGTTGTCAGGACAATTCAAGATCCTTCGAGAATCTCATGATGTGTTACCAAAGTCACGTGACTTCCGCTGTCGTAACAATATATACTTTTTTCAGCTGTATTAACAAGTACCAATTTGTCATGTGGTTAGATACAGATTTAATCACACTGTTACTAAATGTTAAATTACAGGTATAAATGAAATGTACAATGTTTTCAGTTTTAGTGCACAGTTACCAATTATCTAGGTTTAGTACAAGTTATCATGTTTAGTTTCTAATACATACTTAGTTTATGTTTTGTCTTCATACTTGTAATGGTTCGACGTATTATTCATGGGATTAGTACATACAGTATCACTGTGTTGGTTATAGTTCTATCGCTTAGTCTTAATTACAGTTAGAGTTACATTGAGTTGAATTGTAAGTATAAGCATCGAATTGACACTAATTTTAGGCTACTGTTCTGTCTTGTTAGGGCAGGTGGGACTAGGAACGGATGTTGTATTGTTACGACGGCGGAAGTCACGTGTCGCTGGGAGCATGCGTGCTGGAGTTTCTCGAAAGACATGAAATTGCCCGGCAATTCTAGTTTGAGCGAGACGCCCTCTTTTTAGTATATAAGCCTGGCGAGAAAAACCAGTGCGATTTGAAGAGATATAGATAGATTGAAGAGATAGTATATTATGAGT